ACTTGGCCTTGATCAAACCATAATTTTCGATTTAAGAAAATACAATTAATTGACGTGTCACTATACTGTTTGAGTTAATATGTAAAATACCATACAAAATAAGAAAACTACAGTTGTTGTAAAATGCTCAGTAATAATTCCTTTTCACTCTTTTTCTCATCTGAGGCCCAGGTTACTGATATTGGAGAGGGGCTTGATTAGGTTTCCCACAAAAAGGAAGGCTTTAATGTGGTATGTAGTTCAGCTAATAGATTCTTATTCTAAAGGATGAGCCCTTTTGCAATTAGTTATCTGCATATAGGCAGCTATTCCCTCTTTTAAGAGTTTCCATAGAGAAACTAATCACAGAAGAGCCCTTAGTTTCCTGTAAAGCAAGTTATCTTCAAATTGGTAGATCATGGCTTGCCTTCTTATAGTTTTCCCCTCTTTTAAGTGGTCAGTGAAAACCTGCTTCCTTATCTTCAGCAGGTTTTTGTTTAATTCTTTCATAAAATCTCTTGTAAGGGGTAGCATATAGAAGGTGTTCTTTCCTGGTGAACAAGAAAATGAAACATGAACCTTCATTATAGTGTTCTATTCAATCACAATAAAATTATCCAAATAGTTTCTAAGTGCAGGAAAAACAAATTGATTACACGTATTCTATTTGGCAAATTAAAAATACAAATTTATGAATCCAGATAAATTGAAGATGACAATTCACACCAAGAAAAATAAAAGGGGGCCAATAAGCAAACCTTACTAAGAATCAGAGCAATGCAAATTAAAACAAGATTTAATTTGTTGCTCATCAGTCAAAAAGCAAAGATAAAAGTTAGTAGGATCCACAATTGCCTGGGATTAGAAAAAGAAGTACAGCATTTCTGGAGGGCAATTATGCTCTGTGAATTCACAGCCTTATGGCCTAGGAACGTATCCTAAAGAGAAAACCAGTCAAGTTCACAAAGTTGTATATGTATGGAGGATGCCCAACACAGCCCTGTTTAAAACAATGAAAAATTTTAGAATCTAAATGCCCATGAACTGGAGATTAAGGCACATTTGTAAAACAGAAAATAGTACATCCTTTGGAAATTATTATGTATCTGCTGGCAGGGAAAGATCTCTAAAATATACAGCTAAGCAGTTACAAAATAGCAGATACAAGATGATCCAGTTATATAAAACCATTTATCTTTATGCTTATTTTCGAAGAGAGTGAATAGAAAAGAATGTTCACCAAAATGTCAATGAGAGGAACTGAAGACATTTCCTTATCTCCTTTTTTTTTCAGTTGAGGTGAAATTCACATAACAAAATTAATTTTTCTTCTTATAAACTTTTCTGTATAATTGAATTTTGTCAAATGACCATTTACTTTTGTAAACAGAAAAACAATTAAAAAAGTAAAAAAAAAAAACCTAAGTAGAGAGTATCCATAAACTATTAAGGAAATACAATCACTAGTTTCATCATTAAAATAATTCTACATTTTATAAAATGCTTCTTTTAATAATAGCACACCTGATTCTTATATTTATTTATGTATCAGCACTAGACAGATATACTCAAGAGAAAGAACAGTATTATTCAACAGAGTCAATCTAAAATAGAGCCAAAACAAATAAAGAACTTCTATTCTAAGATACAAAAAAATGAATTCTATTTCAAACATTTGATTCATGCAAAATTCCTCAGAAACATATCTGTTGTGAACATCTAGGTATAACTTTATAGAATATACTTACCAAAACCGCCCAGTTGTTTGTATGGCCACTTCTAAAGAACTGTTCTGCTTGATCCTATCAAAGAATAGCAAAAATATTACAAAAAAAAAGTCACATTTTCAAGAATAAAGACTGATAAAGGACAGTTAAGATTCATGGAGTTTTCACAGTTACAATAACAGTAAGTTATCATTATGAAGTTTATAAGTATTCTAGTATTTGACCATGAAGGACAAAACAGAGCTTGGATTTTTTTTGGTGGGGAGGCATTCTTGGGGGTAGGGGAGGAGGTGTTTGTTTTTAGACATTTTATCTCAAACACAGCCAGCTCTTATTCATATGCTTCTAGTTTTCATTAGGTCTTCAAATTGCCAATGACTAATTTACATCTTGACTCTACATATAACAATTAATAGCCTTCCTGCTGAAATTTCATTCATTATTTGTTCCTACTCTGTGCTGGGTGCTTCCAGTTACCTTTTTTGAACTTACCAATATATTTGATTGAGCACACCCTCTAGCATGCTGCCATGTGCCATTTCACTACTCTGTTAAAGTCTGATTTATATTTGCCATAAGGGAACATTAAAAACTTTTGCATCCAGATACCTAATGAACATGATTTTTATTATATATTCAAATAGTAAGGAATATAAACCATAATGACCTCAGATCTGCTCCCAAACAGTAGAACAGACTGCCTGGATTCAAATATGGGCCCCAGCATTTACGAGCTGTATAAACTTAGGAAAGCTGCTTAATTTCTCTGTTCTTCCATTTCCCCATCTGTAAAATGGTAATATTATCTGACACACAGAATGCAGAAATGGTGACTGGACCATAGTAATTGCATAACAAATGTTAGCTGTTTTAATTTTCAGCGGGCAAGAAAATTTCAGGGAGAATGAAATTCAAAAAATCACTCAAATGTGTATGTGTCACACACATACACACACACACACAAATGCACACTTTTGGTTTTTTTAACCTTTCTCAACAGCTGCCTAGATGCTAATGAAAGCAATGTGCTACAGTGGATAAAGCACTGGTTTAGGATTTTGAAGATCTGGGTTTTAACTCAGGTCCTATCCCGCATCTGGCTATGAGACTGGGGTAAGTCATTTAGCTCTTTGGAATCAACTTTCTTCATGTAGAAAAATGAGAGTTGACCCAAAAATCTGTAATGTCCCTTCCAGCTCCAAAATTCTTACATCATTAAGACTTCAGTGAAAAAATTTGAGATGGCAAAACTCTATTGTGATTGTTTAGACAAAAAAGCACTGCAAAGTTATTCATTCTACATATAGTTAGTGGAACACCTATTACATGCCAGGAACCATGTAATGCACAGTAATATAAAAACCATTGAAAAGCATGATGCTTTCTCTCAATAATAGCAGAATTCAATAAAGAAGACAAGCACACACATTACACTGCAGTGTCACAGTCATTCATTCATCATATTCATTGGGTATCATGTGACAAGTCACTGTCCTGAGGCCTCCAAAAACAATGATGGGCCAAAAGAGTCACAATACTTGACTCCAAAGAGGTCACTATCCAATTTGATAGACACACAGTAAGCAGATAATGGCAAACTACAAATGCTATAAAGATACACAGTTTCATGAAGGAGTATAACAGGGAAACCTGACCTGGTTTTGAGGGGAGAGGGGGGATGCTGATGGAAAATTTCCCTAGAGAAGTGATAGTTGGGTTAAGATCCAAAGGACGAAAAGAGGGAAGATAATTCCAGACAGAAAACATGGGCTCCAGTGGCAAAAAGGAGTTTAAAGGTTTTGAGAAACTGAAAGAAGATTAACATGACTAGAAGTTTGAAAGAGAGAGGGAGAACTGGAGGTACAGGCAGGACTCAAAGTATGCAGGGTCTTCCTTAATGGACCATAATGAAGATTTTGTTCTTTATCCTTAGAGCAACGTTAAGGTATATATATTTGCAATTTTTAAGTCACTCTGGCTGCAGCTTGGAGAACAGACTGGAAGAAAGAATAACTTGAAGCAGACCCAGTTAGGAATTACTGCATTCTAAGTCAAAGAAAATAGAATAAAAGCATAAAGCATATGTGGGTTAAAATAGATGAGTACTACACTAGCTAAGTATATAAATTACAACAGGGAAGGCAAAGGTAAGGGATAGGGAAAGGTTCTACAGAAGTGCCTTTACTGTATCGTATTAAAGGAACAGAACAAGAGGTATAAATCATGGTCATGTGGAAAACCACAACTAGGAAACTACAAAAAACAGTAATGGTATCCGAAATGAAATATGCAACGTAACCCATTAGAATAAAGGAAGAAAAATAATACAACTTCTATTCATGTGTATATTATCTAAAATATATGCTTTATAAATATTGAATACATGAATTCATGAGTATATAAAGTGCATGTTCAATATCTTTTTTAACTGGTGGGGGGTGTGCATTCAAGAAGTTTGGAGTTCTCTGGTCTAAACTCATGGTCCTGAGGTGGTGGGGAGCCTGGGCTCCAATATGAAGACAGGAAAAGTAAGCAGAGACCAGACCATATTTAGACTTTATTCTGCATGCAATGGAAACACTTTGAAAGGATTAAATCTTAAAGAAGAATAACCTGATCAGGTTTACAACTTTAGAAAGACTAATCTAGCATCTACATGTGGGAGTTTAGAAGCCTGGGGGAAAGAAGAAAGTTATTTCAACAGTCTAGACAAGAAATGACCAAGGGCTGCATTAAGCCAATGACTTGACAGATGAAAGCAATTTCAAAAGTTCAGAATATAGAATTTAGTGATGATCAAAATATGGGATAAAGAGAGTTTATTGAAAAAAAAAAAAAGGTTTCCAGCACAGGAGCAACCCCATAGGAGGTTGGTAAAACTTGGGACATAGAAACTTGGGACATAGATCTTAGAATGTCGGCTGACTATCCCGGCCCCGAACTGGATAAGCAGGCCTGAAAAAAGATGCTAAAGATGTAGATTGTATAACAGGACTGAGGTATTATCAAAATACAGGGGATAGTAAGAGCTTTATAACCGGCCCGAAAGATTATATTTTGTAAGCCGAAAACAAAACACTGCACCATCTGACGCCTATCAAAGCGGAACGTTGTAATTTAGTAATAGGAAAGCAGGCGATGCGCTCCTGTGCTGGCATTTCACTTGCTGGGGACTGCACACTCATCGGAGCAAAAGATCAGGTCCTTCCTCATCTCCTAGGATTTGATTATTGTACTTGATCACCTCAAAGGTCTGAAACAGAACGAACTGTCTGCATCGCACCCGTGACACCCTCCCCACAGCGCGTCAGCCCGGGGAGAGCCGGGGACTCCAGGACCCCCTCAGGGCTGTGTCGGTCCTCCGCCGGCGCGCTCACAGCCACGGCACAGCCGTCCTCCCAGGGCCCTGTCGCTCGGGTGGCCTGACTCCTACCTCGATCTGACTAGCGGCCCAGCTGCCGAAGGACAAGAGCAGCAACCCTGCCAGGGCAGCGGAACCTTGGCTAGGAAAGCAGGTGGCGACCATGATCGCCGGCTCCGGCCATCCGCACCGGGAGGGGCGGGGCAAGTGCCGTAAAGCAGCCCGGCTGCTTTTTCTCGTGTTTGGTGGGGGGGTTTTGCGACGCCACCCCACCTCCTGGAGGCCCGCCCCTCGCCAGCGCTTCCGCCGAGCTAGAGTTTCCCGGTTAGCCGGGGCGGGATGAGATGGTGGTTGGTCCTGTATCTTCTATATTGTAAAGCCGATAGAACGGTTAAACCCTTTTTTGAAAGGTGAGGGAGAAAATCCCATAAAGTTTAGGAAGTTATTTCCTTTTTTTGCATAGCGCTGCCAATTCTTTCAATATATGAAGCGTACTGTGGTAGGAAAAGCAAGCATTTGGGCCCCAAAAGGTGGTTAATTGAATCAATTGCAAACGGAAAGATGGGTGGGTGCTGCAACTAAGGCTTGGGGTCTACTAAAAGTATGAATATGGAGAAATTAAATTTCTGTTTCTTCTGTAATTTGGAGCTAAATCTTACCAAAGAGGCTGAGGATTGAATAAGGTCATTTGTATTCGTTCCATTATGTTTAATATTTGCATTCCATTTTTAAATTCTATTTTTCACATCTCGCATGACATAAAATGTGTTTATGCTGCTTCAAAATCTTAATTTTAACATTTAACGGTAACATAGAATTTCATCCTTTATTATAGCCTCAGCCAAAGTAATTGCCTCTCTATTGGACAACACCAAGTTAAAAATACTGTAAAGAGCATCGGTGTGTTGTTAGGCTTTTTACATTTGCTGAGTTATTTTCTCTGGGTAATTTCCCTGGAACAGGAATCTTGAGTCAAACGAGACAAAAATTTTAGTGGCTATCAATGAGGTTGTATTCCAAAGTGAACAAACTTATAATTCCATCAAAGGACACAACCCAACATCAAATTACCCTGTTTTTTTCCTCTAAATTCCCTGGTACAAAATATTACCTCAAGGTTGCTATACTCCTAGTTCTTTGATTACTGTCAAGATCGTAAGCTTTTCCTTGTATTTATAAACTCTTTGAATGTTCTCTGATGTAAGTATTCATAGCATGTTTTACATATGAATTTGAGTGTATCTTTATAAAGAAGCAACATCTTGTCATATTTTATGCTATTGCTTTCCTCAGGCTCTTGTCCCTGTTTACATTTTGTTTCTTTTGCTATTGCACTATGTGAGATGTTTAATGTTAAGTGGTCAAATTTCAGGTTTTCCCTTATGAAGCCAAGAAAATATTAGGACGTTACCAGAATGTCTTATACCTGAATGTCACAAGTTTGTTCAGGTCTCAGGTCAAACGTTTTATTTGCTTTTAATTTTATATTTAACTCGCCAGCCATCTGGAAGATATTTTGGTATATGCAATAAGATGTTATGTGACTTAGCTATTGCTGCATAACAAGCCACCCAAAACTTTGTGATGTGTCCATGCCCACAGATAAAAGGGTATAGAAAAAGGAACCAGGATTCTGTGGGAGCCAATGCTCGGATCATCTACCATTACTTTATCAAAATTGGTATTCCATTATCCAACATAATTTTCTACATACTGTTTACCTTTCCCAGTGACTCATTTTAACCCTTTCATTAAGTTCTTACAAGAAATACAGGATCTCTGGGCTTTCAGGTTTCCTCAGGTGAAATGCATGTCTATTTTGGAACTGTTATGGGTTGAGTTCGTTTTCCTAGGTCCTTGTCCTGCCTCAACAAATAATTGAAAGGCAGAGATGTTATAGCAATGCAGAGGGAAAGTTTTGTTTGAATACACTTCCAAGGGGGCAGCAGGCCAGAGTAAAGGGAGACACAGGCCTTGATCTGTTAGGTGGGAGGCTTATATATTGCATTCTGGTTAGGAGGCATCTCTTTGACTGACAAGGGGGTTATGTGATTTATAGGTTTTTCTATATAGTCATTCCTCTCCTTTCCCCATGCTGAGGTGTGATTTAGCAGCTTTTAGTTCCATCCATTGGCATCTGGGTGGGGAGGAAGTTGTCTAAACATGGGAGCCCCTACCTGGGCAGAGTTTGGGTGGCTTTTTCTTTAACCCTTATCTGGGCGGCTTCTTCTCTGAGCCTTATCTTCCCCTTTTCCCACTGCTCATGTCTACCTTTCTATCAACATTCCTAGCATAACCAGTATAATGATATTTTTAATTACAGACATATCTCAGAGCTCTTGCAGGTTCAGTTACAGACTACTACAATAAAGCGAGTCAAATAAATTTTTTTGTTTTTCAATGCATATAAAATTTTTGTTTACACTATACTGTAGTCTATTAATTATGCAAAAGTGTTATGCCAAAAAAAAGTACATACCTTAATTTAAAATACTCTATTGCTAAAAAATGCTAAACATCATCTGGCCTTTCAGTGAGCTATAATATTTTTCCTGGGGGAGGGCCTTGCCTCAGTATCGATGGCTGCTGATCAGGTTGGTGGTTACTGAAGGTTGGGGTTGGCTGTGGCAACTTCTTAAAATAAGACAACAATGAAGTTTGCCTCATGGATTGACTTCCTTCCATGAAGAATTTCTCTGTTGCATGCAATACTATTTGATAGCATTTTACCCAGTCTTTCAAAATTAGAGTTAATCCCTTCATACCCTGCTGCTGCTTTATCACCTACATTTATGTAATATTCTAAATCCTTTGTTGTCTGTTTCAACAATCTTCATAACACCTTCACCAGATTTGGATTCCATCTCAAGAAACCACTTTTTTTGCTCATTCATAAGAATCAATTCATTGTTCAAATTTTATCACAAGATTGCTGCAATTCAGTCACATCTCCATTGTTCATTCACTTAGTTGATATTTATCAAGCACCAATTATGTATCAGGCATTGTGCTAGTCATAGGCAATGGGAAAAAGAGCAAAAACTGAAAAAGTCCCTGCTTAGAGTCTAGGGGAGATAAACACTAATAGTAGAAAGATTTAAACAAATGTAAAAGTCTAACAGGAAAGTTTATAGTACGAGACCCAACCTTGTAAGAAAAACCATAGTAGGTTTCCCTAAGGAAATCGAGAAAGATGCAATTAATGAGTGAATGAGGCAAAATGGAGGGGTGGGAAGATCTTTCAAGTTAGAGGAAACAGCTCTTGCAAAGAACTTGTATAAGAAGGGAGCTTGACTTATTAGAGTAACTTTTTGAATGATGTGCTTGCAAGTCAAAGGACAAAAAAGAGAGTGCTGCAACATGGAAGTGCATTGCTAAGCGGTGCCACTTCCCTTCAAAGCTGGAGGGTCAGGTAAAGGAAAGCCCCAAAATGGTAGATATCATGCTGGCTCCAATGAGGAGAATGGCTGCAGGTAGAACTTTTGAGAGGCCATTGCTACAGTTCAGGCAATGGAATCTTATACCAGAGTGGTAACAATGAAGATGATGAAAAATGGAGAGAGCCAATAAGAATTTTTGGATTTTATTTAAATTATTATTCAGTAGAACGTGACAATGGATTATATTGGGGAAGTAGGAGGACAATTTCAAGGATGACTTTTGGATATCTGACTTGGACAAATGAATGCAGAGTAGTGTATTATTTTTTTTAAACAAGAATTAGACGAAGGGACTAGGTTTAGGATTCATGTATAAGTGAGGTCTGGTTTAAATATTTACCCAGAGCAATTTGGAAGATAAACTTGCATGAACTTACTATAAATGCTTTTGTGACTACTAAATAAATGTTGTTACAAAATAAAATGAGTGAAAAGAACAAATTTAACCAGGATCAGAAACTAGCCCCTGAGAGAGATTTTGCAATGTGCTTTTTTCTACATAGTTTAATTGCTACTGGCAAGTCTGTTTGCTACAGCAATCACCACCACAAGTATTTGATGGGAACATTTCATATCAAACAGTCAAAATGTCTCTGGGCAAGATACAATTTGATGAAAGGAAATTAGATATGTAATAAAATGCAAATAGAAAAAAATCAATTCAAATAAAGCCAAATGACTTTCTTTCCAATGTGTTTATATCATTTCCTAGTGCTAATTTTGATATTTGACTACCTTAAATTCTATTTCCATTTGGCCTCAAATACTTTTCTTCTCTCCTTCCACTAAGTCACTTAGTAATAGTTTGTTCTGCTGTAATCAGTTTCCATCTCATGACCTTCTCAGGAACTAGGTCATGAGAACTAACTCATAATAACATCGCTTCAATGCAAGAGAAGAGCAACTGCCCTTCAAAGTCTTTTTCAGAAATCCTGTGTTGTCATTAAAATGCCATAATGACCTGGACAGAAAGTCATGTTGCTTTAGTGATGCTTTAGTGATGTAAGACTTAATATTTCCTTAGTAATATAATCCTCCTTTGTCAATCAAGTTCTACTAGTTCTCTTGGTACAAAGCTAATTGACAGGGTTCAGTTCTTCATGAGCTGAAGTTTTCCAACAAATGCAATTGATTTTGTTCAATTGATTTTTATTCTGTTATGTACTGCTTTATTCATTAAGCATCTTGTGAGATTCTCTGAAGTTCCAAGGATATTTAATACATATTTTAATTATACCATCTTTGGTAAAGTGTGGGGTTTTGCTTGAAAGGCCTCTTAGGAAGATACTAGAGTGGTACAGAGGGGAGGGAGTTGTGTGTTTTATAGAAAACTACTAGAAAGATACTCTGGTAGGCAGAACATGGCCCCCCAAAGATGTCTAGGTCTGAATTCCTAGAACCTGTGAATATGTTATATAACATGACAAAAGGAACTTTGAAAATATGATTAAGGATCTTGAGTAGGGGAGATTATATTGAATTATCTAGATGGGCCCAGTATAATTACAGGGGTACTTATAAGAGGGGGTCATGAGGGTAAGAGGAGAGGAGAGGTAATAATGGAAGCAGAGGTCAGAGCAATGAGGGTCACTAGTCAAGGGGATTTGCCTTCTAAAAGCTGGAAAACACAAGGAAATAGATTATTCGCCAGCACCTCCGAAAGAAACTCAATTCTACGAACCCATTTTGTGCTTCTGTCCTCCAGAACTATCAGGTAATGAATTTGTTTTGTTTTAAGCCACTTTCTTTGTGATAATTTGTTA